CCGCAAAGAAAAAGAAAAAGAAAAGAAGAAGAAAAAAAAAGAAGAAGGGGAAGTAAAAAAAATCAGAGAAAAAAGAATAAATATATTGAAAAAAAAAAAAAAAAAAAAAGATCTTAGAAAAGCCTCGATCACCAATATATTTTATTCGTATATCATATACATGTATGTATGTATGTATCCTATGTTTGTTATGTTAACCAAAACGATAGAAGGCAACGGTGAATGCAATCGTTTGGAATTCTATGATCGAACGTTCACGTCTCTAGCGATATGTAGAATTCAAGTCACTAGATCGTTCGATAGTTCGATTCTAAACACATCGAACATGTTACCGGTTTTGTTTTAGGTGCGGGAGTACCGCAACGTTTGGTATTCGCCGTGATGGGCTTTTTTGCGATCTTCAATGCCTACGTCATGAGAGTATGCCTGTCGATAGCCTTGACGCAAATGGTCATACCTAGTAATAAAACAACAAATGTAACCTCGCTCGACAATACTTGTCCTGTTTTTCAAGAAGATCATCCAGTCGAGCAGAAACAATCTGGCACTTACGATTGGAGTGTAGGACAACAGGTGAGAAGGAAAAAAAGGCAATTGACCGATCAAGAACGTTATAGTAATATAATGTTTTCCTTCATAATTTTCTATAATACGAATACAAATTGAAATAATTATATGTACTATTTTAAAGTTCTATATGCGATATGTCCAATTATGACATATACATTTAATGAAATCTTATTTGTTTTCATTTAAACTCTTTCACTCTTTTTATCTCTTTTTTTTTAAATTAACACGTGTACTGATGTTTTTCTTTTTCTTCTTTTTTTTCTTTTTTCTTTTTTTTTTTTTCTGTTTCTCTCGCTATTTCAGAGCACGATATTGTCGGCGTTCTATTGGGGATACATAATAACTCATTTGCCAGGAGGTCTTTTGGCTGAAAGATTCGGTGGAAAGTACTCGCTCGGTTTAGGAATTCTTTCTACCGCAGTGACAACACTTTTAACACCGGTTGCAGTAAAATGGGGCGGAGCCACTGCACTTATCGTTCTACGTTTCTTGATGGGATTAGGCGAGGGTACGACATTTCCTGCATTGAATTCGATGTTAGCGCAATGGACACCTCCGGAAGAGAGATCGAAACTTGGCTCGTTGGTATTCGCTGGTGCTTTACTCGGCACAGTTTTCGGTACTTCCGTTTCCGGTGTGATCCTTCAAGATTCACCGATAGGTTGGGCTGCAGTTTTTTATGTTTTCGGTGCGATAGGTATATTATGGTTCATTATGTGGATCATATTATGTTATAACAATCCGGACGAGCATCCTTTCATATCAGAGCGCGAATTGAAATATTTGCACGACCGAATGAGCGCTCATACACATAAGAAACCGCCATTGGTACCATGGCGACACATGTTTACGTCAGTACCATTTTGGGCTTTGGTAGCCGCTCAAGTTGGTCACGATTGGGGCTTCTTTACGATGGTCACTGATCTCCCAACGTACATGAACAACGTAATGAAGTTCTCAATCAAGAACAACGGATATTTGTCTTCTCTTCCATATCTTTGCATGTGGATATCTAGTTTAATATCATCCTGGTTGGCCGACAAGATGATTACAAGTGGATTTATGTCGCGTACGAATGTACGAAAACTCGGGACAACGATAGCTTCCATTGGGCCTGGTGCTTTCTTAGTTGGAGCATCCTATGGCGAATGTGACAGGACCATTGTTGTTGTTATGTTTACCATTGGAATGACTCTGATGGGTATGTACGGATTGTATTTATTTATTTTTGTAAAATGGAATGAGAGGGAAGAGTGTGGTAAAAGAAAAGAAACAAAAGAAATGATAAAAACAAAATGAATTATTTTCTTTCATTCTAGGTACTTTCTATCCCGGCATGAAGGTAAATGGACTTGATCTCAGTCCAAATTATTCCGGCTCGCTGATGGCTGTGGTAAATGGAATAGGTGCTTTAAGTGGTATCCTTACGCCTTACATCGTAAGAGCACTTACGCCGAATGAATTGATGACTGAGTGGAGACTCGTATTTTGGGTCGTATTCGCTGTTTTCGTTGTTACCAATTTAATTTTCATATTTTATGCGAGCGGAGAGGTTCAATATTGGAACGATCCTGAATTCGTCAGAAGAGATAGAGAGGAGAGGCGGCGTAAAAACGATATTGAGAAACAAGAGAAAGCAGGAAAGATATCGTCGTAATTATAAAGCGATGAGTGATGATTCTTCGTCGAAATGATTTCACTCTTTTGTTTTCTTTTATTTTTCTTTTCTATTCTTTTTTCTTTTTTTTTTCTTTTTTTCTTTTTCTTTTTCGTCATTTTAACTTTAACAAAAACAATTGGATCTCTTTGTGTTTCTAATCGTGCGATCATACTCTACTTCAAGTACTCTCTCTCTTTTTCTCTCTCTCTCTCTCTCTCTCTCTCTCTCTCTCTCTCTCTCTCTCTCTCTCTCTCTCTCTCTCTGTTTGTATCTCTTTTTCTCTCTTTTTTCTTGTTCGAAAAGATAAACGTCAATCGAATCGATCGATTTTATATTTAAATTGATTTGAGTACTATCCATTAAAACTGAACTGATACGCAATTCTTTTATATAATCTAAATTCCTTTTATAACAATCGACTATTTGAATTTTCATTAAAATTTCGATAAGTTTCTTGATATCGTGCAAATATCTTAGAAATTTTTATTTGCAAAAAATATTTTACATTGATTTCAATGGAAAATTTTCGTTTCGAAGAAGGTAGCGTTCGTAAGAACGAACTCGCTTAAAAAAAGAAAAAAAAGAAAAGAAAAAAAAAAATTTAATATTCTTCTTATCGAGAGTCCAAAAAATGGAGACTGATAATACGACAATGGGTGCTATTGAGAACATTGAAATTTTCTTTCTTCTTTTTTTCTTTTCTTTTCTTTTCTTTCTTTTTTTTTTCTTTTCGCCCCCCCATAAACAACAGACATACACTTTCAGCGGCGCTCAATACGATAATGTTATTCGCTTGCGTGTGAGATAATCATTAATTAATTATTAATTAATTCTGACGAACGATCTTACGAAAAAAAAAAAAAGAAAAGATCGGCATATTATGCGTAATTTTATTAGATTAGTATATATCAATTACGAATAAATATTATACATTTGAATAACGCCGTAAAAAAATATTGTGCAATGGTAGATGCATTAAGATGGATGTTAATTCGTACCGAGTTATTATCTTATACACACGGTTACTGGGGTAATGTCGATTCGAATTCTATATGCGTCGTAATCCATGTAATAACATGCTTTCACTACGTTGTGTTACGTGTTTCGCGCTTTGCTGCCTTTCATTGCTCCTTCGAAATAGTCCCGCCGCAAATTGCATTACCCAATATGATGGATTAGCAATGCAGAAAACTCGAGCTGCGAAATAAAAAAAACATTGGATTTCGGCGATATTCGAAATATCTTAAGAATGTATTTTGTATGTAGAAATTATTTAATGTATACGCAGATATATATATATATATATATATACATATATATATTATATACATATATATATATATATACATATATATATATATGCGTATGTATATGTATAAATCACGGAAAAGTGTAAAGAATACATAAAACCTTGTACTTTTCCGAGACTTGTAAATAAAACACGCATGGTGATATTTTGTATAAGGCATCGAGTTGGGAGATTTCTCAAGAAGAAAAAAATAAATAAAAAAAAAAAAAAATATAACAATAATAAAATACTTAAATCAATTCGTTAATTTGTATTATCGTAAACATTCGATTGTTCTTTGTTCTCCTTCATTTTTTTTTCTCTTCATATGAATAAAAGTATAATGTGGTTTACGATTTATTACGTAATTTATAAAATTCTTTTATTAGATAGTACTTTAAATCCAATGATATTTTAAATTGATAAGCTCTTAGATCACTCAGAGATAAAATCTAGATTGATTGTACATATAATAATATTTAAACAATATATATCAAGTGTTGAATGTCTTATGATTTTATAAATGTAAGTACTTTTAAAATATATCGTCTTAAGTGACAGACAATATCTGATAAGAATATGTTGCAGAGTAATCAAATTAATAGATTTAGAATGTAATATAAAATTTTCCGTGTTTAATAACTTCACAATGTATATTTTTCAGATATACATTAAAAAAAAAAAAAAAAAAAAAAAAAAAAAAAACAAAAAGAAAAGAGAGAGAAAAAGAAAAAGGAAAATGATGACTTTACTTTTTGTAGATTGTATTAATCTTTTGATTAATTGAATCGAAACTTCTTATCAAATTCCTGATAACATGGAATAAGCTTGATTTTAGATTTTCTCTCTATTTTTCTCTGTCAAGTAGTTGTTTCAAACTTTATTCTGATAATCATGTCTGTTTACATTTGAAACTTTATTTAACAATATAAACATGATATTGAATAATCTTCAGAATTACGAGTAGATCTTAGTTTTTATTTTAGTGAATACTAATTTACTAAATTAAAAAATATACATTTGGCGCCATCGTTGACGTCACACAAGAAAACGACGTTGATTGGTTGATTTTAGCGATATCTTATATATATGTAAACATTTTTATACTGCGAATTGATTGGTTGACGTCGATAGAACTAACCAATGGGAGACGTTCTTTCAGTGAACATTCAATTCATTTTTTATTTACGTTTGCTTGCTTTATGAATTAATTTACATATATATAGAGAGAGAGAAAAAGAGAAAATATAATTTATTCTCGAAATATTCCGTAAAAAAATAATATTTAGAATATATTTTTATCTCGTAAAATGTAAAGTAATTGTAGTAAGCCAATCACGTGTGACTATGTAGGAATACACCTTACGTGATTGGTTAATATCAGAAAATGTGAAAATCTTTAAAAACATCGATATTATTCGATAATAAAAGTTTGTTGGGCGCGATTGCAGTGTTGAAACGATATTTGACTAAAGATATTTCTAAACAACTTCAGATCATTCTTTACCGTTTATTGTATATATGGAGTATGTATGGCATGATTTGATCGTAGGTGTACAGCCTTTTTCGTGATCAGAGTACAGAAGGATCTGCATACAGATATCATCCGTATGATAGAAAGGACAATTGAAAACGTAATAAAATTTAATATATTAAGAAATTCGGAAAGGAAGAAAATATTTATTTTATAAAAATAAAGTTGATCTTTGAAATCAGTGAAAGATGCAGGAATCTCAACCGAAAAAAGGGAAAAAGGGTGAGGAAATATTTGTTAATCATTTTTATATTATTCAATTTTATAACAGACAACGTTTATATTAATCCACATATATATTATTATATAAATCGTATGCTATTTTTCGATCTAACAACTCGTCGTCTGCTTTTCATTTAACCTCAATTCTGCCGATAACATATGTGCTTCATGTAACCAATATTACGTCTCGATATATTGTATTTACGTAACTTTTCGCAATAATTTATCTATTAGAAATTCAATATAGTATTCTACATTGAAAGAATTGTAATATCGTATTATATATTATAAATTGTATATTTTGTAATATCTATATTTTCTCTATAACATGCGTATGATAGAATAGCAACATATTTCAAATGTAAAGAAATAAATTTTATATAA